CCCACACACACACCACCAACGGGTAAAAAGTACAACCCCCCACACCACTTACGGGTAAAAAGTACAAATCCCCCCACACCACTTACGGGTAAAAACTACAAATCCCCCCACACCACCACGGGTAAAAAGTACAAATCCCCCCACACCACCAACGGGTAAAAACTACAAATCCCCCCACACCACTTACGGGTAAAACTACAAATCCCCCCCACACCACCAACGGGTAAAAACTACAACCCCCCCCCCCCCACACCACCACCACCAACGGGTAAAAAGTACAAATCCCCCCACACCACCAACGGGTAAAAACTACAAATCCCCCCCACACCACCAACGGGTAAAAACTACAACCCCCCCCACACACACACCACCAACGGGTAAAAAGTACAACCCCCCCACACACACACCCACCAACGGTAAAAAGTACAAATCCCCCCACACCACCAACGGGTAAAAAGTACAACCCCCCCCACACACACCACACCACCAACGGGTAAAAGTACAAATCCCCCCACACCACTTACGGGTAAAAACTACAAATCCCCCCACACCACCAACGGGTAAAAACTACAAATCCCCCCACACCAACGGGTAAAAAGTACAACCCCCCCCACACACACACACCACTTACGGGTAAAAACTACAAATCCCCCCACACCACCAACGGGTAAAAACTACAAATCCCCCCACACCACCAACGGGTAAAAACTACAAATCCCTCATGTTCGAAATGGTGTTCAATGCAGTTTGAAAGTTAGTAAAACAAAGTATGAACTCCCAGCATGCCTTGCTGTCGTCACGCAGGAGCCTGGAGACGATCTTTGAGGAGCCGAGGGAGAAGGATGGAGCGCTGCTCCTGATTGGCCAGCAGAGGAGGCGCAGGCTCCTCCTCTTCCCTGACTTCACTCAGCCCAGGAAGAGGAAGAGGCTGCAAGGTACACTGGGAAATAGTAGTTAACTGAAGGAGGGGCACAAAGATAGAGACGGCGGTTGTGTTCAGTTCATCACATGCTAATTTGCATATTCATGATGTCCCCATGTAAATTTTTTGAACTTTTTTCATCTGTCTTTAGGGGCCGGACTTCCTGTCCCCATGGCGCCCAGGAAACGGGCGGTGGCTCGGCGACACTGTCACGGCGGCAGCCGCGGCGAAGACGACTCGGACCTGGACGTGATGCTGGTGGAACGACTGAGCGCGCTCGAAGACTTCCTGACACGGCAGGGCCTCGACGTGTGAGAACTGACATCACTTCCTGTCAGCTGAATAAAGGCCAAATAAACAGAGCTGCTAGCGTGCCCGCTACGTTACCGTGGTAACGCCACGGGGGTATTTTTTTGCAGTGTACTTAATGTTTTTTGTTTGATTTTTTTACAGTGTAGGCTGCATAATGTGAATTTACCGAAATATTTAATAGTTTTTTTACAGTGTGGATGATGTAGAACAGGTGGAGCTGAGGCCACGCCCACAGCAGGGCACAGGTGGAGCTGAGGCCACGCCCACAGCAGGGCACAGGTGGAGCTGAGGCCATGCCCACAGCAGGGCACAGGTGGAGCTGAGGCCACGCCCACAGCAGGGCACAGGTGGCTGGTTTTATTTTTGTTATTAAAATATCAAAAGACTTCACTGTAGTACTGCCTGAGTACTGTGTAGTATTCTGTGAAGTATTTAGAGTTTTTAAAGTGTAATATATTTCTGCTGAAAATGTCTATTTTTGGAACAAATAAAGTTTGTTTCTGCTCAAAGACGTTTGTCATCGATCCTGGTTCAATAATAAAAACTTATATTTTTATAGCGCCTTTCACGGGACCCAAGGACGCTTTCCTTCAGGGTTGAAAGCCTTTGTGAAGAGCTGGGTTTTAGGAGGATTTTGAAGGTGTCCAGAGAGGGAGCATTTTGGATCTCTGGGGAAGGAGTTCCGGAACAGCGGCTTGGTTCAGGTCTGGTTCAGATGTAATCCAGGACTGGTTCAGGTCTGATCCAGGTCTAATTCAGGACTGGTTCAGAATCAGAATGAGCTTTATTGCCAAGTAGTGTTTTACACATACGAGGAATTTGCTTTGGTGATGAGGTGCTACAGGTAGACAAACATACAGTCGACATAAATAAATGTAGAAATATATAAATATGAAATAGAAGAACAATGTTGCAGAACATGTGCATTGTTCTGGGTCTGTGCCGTGCAGAAGTCACACAACGGAAGAGAATATTGTGTACATATAAATATATAAACTGACAACATAACAATCAACAACAAATATGTGCGACGTGCCGGGTCTGTGCCCAACACGAGATGAAACAGTATTTACATGTGCAGAGACATTTGTATCATTTGCCAGGGTGGAGTGTCAGTGGGGGACCCGGGGCTTGTTAATGAGGCTGCAGACGGGAAGAAACTGTTTTTGTGGTGAGAGGTTTTGGTCATGATGGCCCGCAGCCTCCTGCCAGAGGGGAGAGTCTGAAACAGTTTGTGTCCGGGGTGGGAGGAGTCAGCTGCAATCTTTCCTGCTCGCCTCAGAGTCCTGGAGGCTTACAGGTCCAGAAGAGAAGGAAGATTTCAGCCAATCACCTTCTCTGCAGAGCGAATGATGCGCTGCAGCCTGCCCTTGTCCCTGGCAGTGGCAGCAGCGTACCAGATGGTGATGGAGGAGGTGAGGATGGACTCAATGATGGCGGTGTAGAAGTGCACCATCATTGTCTTTGGCAGGCTGAACTTCTTCAGCTGCCGCAGGAAGTACATCCTCTGCTGGGCCTTCTTGGTGAGGGAGGTGATGTTCAGCTCCCACCTGAGGTCCTGGGAGATGATGGTGCCCAGGAAGCGGAAGGAGTCCACAGTGGTGACGGGGGAGCCCCACAGGATGATGGGGCAGGGTGGGGCTGGGCTCTTCCTGAAGTCCACGACCATCTCCACTGTCTTCAGAGCTCCAGAATTTTCTGGCTGCACCGGGTCACCAGATGGTCGATCTCCCACCAATGAGGGTGGTGTCGTCCGCAAACTTCAGGAGCTTGACAGACTGGTGACTGGAGGTGCAGCCTTGAGGGGAACCGGTGCTGATGGTCCTGGAATCAGAGACATGTTTTCCCAGCTTCACGTGCTGCTTCCTGTCCGTCAGGAAGTCAGTGATCCACCTGCAGGTGGAGTCAGGCACGCTCAGCTGGGAGAGCTTGTCCTGCAGCAGGTTCAGGTCTGGTCCAGGTCTGGTCCAGGTCTGGTTCAGCTGTCTTCCTGGCCTTCTTCCTGACTCAGTCACATGGTTTTCAATCAACTCCAATCATTTTTAGATGATTTTAATTCAAGTCTGGGTCTAAGCCCCGTCCCAGACTGGAGCAGGGTGTCGGCGTTATGGGCACGGCCCCCAAATGGTTCAAATCATATCTGGCTGATGGGAGCTTCTCTGTTCACCTCGAGGAATTAATCTGCTGCCCCTCTTTCTGGTGGTCCCCCAAGGGTCCATATTGGGTCCCATGCTTTTTTCACTGTACATGCTGCCATTGGGGTCCGTTTTCAGGAAACACAATATCTCCTTTCATTGCTTTGCAGATGATGCAGATCTTCAAATCCTGTTTAATTGGCTGAGAGGAAGACAGACTGAGGCTGTTCGGTCCACCTGGGGATGTAGATGCTCTTGGTTCTTTAGGGTCGTATAGTCGTCCATCTACCAAGAGTCTGTGTGGAATCTTAGAAAAGCCGGTTTCTTCCAGCTGTTGGCTAAAGTCAAGCCCTACCTGCCACGTAAAAACTGTAAGGAGTAATCCGACCACTGTGACTCAGCATGTTGGAGTGGATCAGTCGTCTCCTTCGGTTCAGCTAGTCCAGAACGCAGCAGCTCGACTTCTAACTGGAAGTAAGTTTCAGCCTCGCTCCTCTGGCGTCCTGTCTGCTGCAGGATGACTTGAAGGTTTTATTGCTTGTTTTTAAAATGTTGGGTCGGCACCTTCTTGTTTATCAGAACTTTAACATGTCAGAGCACTGAGGTGGTCCAATCAGATGTCCCTCGATGTTCCCAGATCCAGGTTAAAGACTAAACTGCTCCTGGTCTCTGGAGTTCTCTACCTGTTGAAATAAGACCCGCTCGGACTGCAGACACTCTCAGGTCCTGGCTAAAGAGCCACCTCGGCCTTCAAACAGACTTTATTGATCTTTTCTACTGTTTTTGATTCAGGTCTGATCCAACACGGCGACCTGATCCGGATCAAACAGAACCACATGTATTCATGTAACTGACGCTGTTATCCAGACTGGCTGTACATGTCAGAGGTCTCTGAAGCAGCGGTGTCTCACAGTGGGAGTTGAACCCGGGTCTCTCACACCAGAGGCATGTGGCTCATCCACTGCTCCATCACCACCACCCCCTTTCTAGTGTGAAAGCATTTTTTGATGGTTCGGTTCTGGCGGTTCCTGTGTGACCCAGAAACAAACAAATGCACCAGAAGAAATTAAACGAGGTCCGCATTGTAAACCGGACCTATGTGGTCTCCTCAGATGGGGGAGCAGAAGGATCCTGCAGGCGGCGATGAGGTGGTGGATCTGAGCGAGCCTCCTCCAGCTGCTGCTGTAGGTTCAGTTTCAGCCGTCAGCTCTTTGCTCACTCGTTGTTTCAGTGATGATTCATTAATCAGATCTTCCTCCATCAGAAGTTCAGTTCTGATTTTTCAGTTCTTTGGATCGTGTCCACTTGGATCAGTGGATGATTCAATTCAGTTTTATTTATATAGCGCCAAATCACAACAACAGTTATCTCACAGCGCTTTTCATAAAAGAGCAGGTTTAGACCGTACTCTATGATGATATTTACAGAAGCCCAACAGTTCCCACCAAGAGAAATCCCCCAGCAGTCTAGGCCTATAGCAGCATAACTAAGGGATGGTTCAGGACTACCTGAGCCAGCCCTAACTATAAGCTTTATTAAAGAGGAAAGTCTTAAGCCTACTCTTAAATGTGGAGATGGTGTCTGCCTCCTGAACCCAAACTGGAACCTGGTTCCACAGGAGAGGAGCTTGATAGCTGAACGCTCTGGCTCCTAGTCTACTTTTGGAGACTCTAGGAACCACAAGTAACCCTGCATTCTGGGAGCGCAGTGCTCTGGTGGGGTAGTAAGGTACTATGAGCTCTTTAAGATAAGATGGTGCCTGACCATTAAGAGCTTTGTAGGTAAGAAGAATGATTTTAAATTCTATTCTGGATTTTACTGGAAGCCAATGCAAAGAAGCTAAAACAGGAGAAATGTGATCTCTTTTCCTGGTTCCTGTCAGAACACGTGCTGCAGCATTCTGGATCAGCTGAAGAGTCTTAATGGTCTTTTTGGAGCAGCCTGATAATAAGGAATTGCAGTAATCCAGCCTAGAAGTAACAAATGCATGGACTAGTTTTTCTGCATCATTTTTAGACAGGATGTTCCTGATTTTCGCAATATTACGTAAGTGAAAAAAGGCGGTCCTTGAAATTTGCTTAATGTGAGACTTAAACGACATGTCCTGATCAAAGATAACTCCAAGATTCCTCACAGTGGTGCTGGAGGCCAGGGTGATGCCATCAAGGAAACTATATCTTTAGATAATGCGTCACGGAGGTGCTTAGGCCCCAGAACAATAACTTCAGTTTTATCTGAGTTTAACATTAGAAAATTACAGGTCATCCAGGTTTTAACATCCTGAAAGCACATTTGAAGTTTAGCTAACTGATGAGTTTCATCTGGTTTGATCGATAGATATAACTGAGTATCATCTGCATAACAATGAAAGCTTATGGAATGTTTCCTGATAATATTGCCTAAAGGAAACATATATAAAATGAAGAGGATTGGTCCGAGGACAGATCCTTGAGGAACTCCATGACTAACTTTGGCGTGCATGGAGGACTCATCGTTAACATGTACAAACTGAAATCGATCTGATAAATAGGACTTAAACCAGCTTAGAGCGGGTCCTTTAATGCCAATGAAATGTTCCAGTCTCTGCAATAGGATCTGATGGTCAATGGTATCAAATGCAGCACTAAGATCTAATAAAACCAGTACAGAGACAAGTCCTTTGTCTGATGCAATAAGGAGGTCGTTAGTAATTTTCACCAGTGCTGTCTCTGTGCTATGATGAGCTCTAAATCCTGACTGAAAATCCTCAAATAAACTATTGCTCTGTAGAAAGTCACACAGCTGTTTAGCAACTGCTTTCTCCAGAACCTTAGAGAGAAATGGAAGGTTAGATATAGGTCTATAGTTTGATAAAACATCCGGATCAAGTTTGGGCTTTTTCAGAAGAGGTTTAATTACAGCCACTTTAAAGTACTGTGGTGCATAGCCTGTTGATAAAGATAGATTGATCATATCTAGTATAGAAGTGCTGACTAAGGGTAAAACATCTTTAAGCAACCTAGTCGGGATGGGGTCTAAGAGGCAGGTTGATGGTTTAGATGAAGAAATTATTGAAGTTACTTGGTAAAGATTGAGGGAAGCAAAGCTTCCAACTGGACTTGGTTGAAGATACTGGAAGACGTTTGTCCCTCATCCAAAGGACTTCTTCAGTTCTGACTGACTGGCAGGGAAACTCAGCTATTTAACCTCAGTGGGGTCGTTGGCCCGGGTCATCGATACCGCTGGTTCGTTAGTGTTCCTTGTTGCTGTGACGACAGTCGTTACAGTCGTTAGGACTACCGGTGGCCAAGACTGAACGACCATCGTTGGT